CCTGTTGGGGTCCACAGTGTCTAGGATTGCCTCAAACTCAGGGTCGGGTTCCCCTTCCTCCACCATGGGCAGGTCATAGCCCAGGGAGCGCAGGCAGGACTTGAACTCCTGGTGGTTCAGCCTGCCAGATTTGTCCTTGTCAAAGTGTTTAAACAGGTTGACTGGGTAGGGATCCATGGTCCTATGCAGGGGGTAAACTGAGGCACGGCATGGGTAAGTACCTCGGCTGCTTCCACTCTGGACTGTCCCAGCCCTTGGCCTCACACACCCGGTCTTACTTGATGTGGCCGACCAGTGCTGAGGGGTGATTCTCAGTCCCTTTCCCGCTCGCCACCGCTGTGGAGCAGAGTTTGGAGACGCGGGTTGCTGCCTGCCCCCTGGGGGACCTCCCCACCCGTGGGCCGTCCGAGTGCTAACCCCTCTCCTAGAGCTCTGCCCACAGCCAATAGATTCGGCTTTGGAGATCTCCTCCCCGAAATAATCCTAGGCAGAGATCCGGTTCCTACTGCAGCAACCTTGGCCTCTCTGGGTGCCTGGCTCTCCCTCCAAGTGTCTGGCTCAGACACCAAGTGGACGCAAGACGGCGGTGTTTGCGGCAACAAGCAGAGCTCCAGCACGGGGTGGGGGCAAAGGTCACGCCAGACCGGCACCACTCCGCCAGGGACCGGGAGCCCAGCTTCCCGAAGAGCGTGTGCATTCTGGGGAACACGAGCAATCGGCGAGGAAAGGGCGGTGGGGATGGGGGACCACATGTGCGCCCACGGGTGCGGGACCAGAGGAAGACAGCAGTGATCGCAGGGCCACGCTCCGCCTCCCCAACTCGTTATCCCCCCGTCTGCACAAGAGTAGATGCCGAAATAGCTGTCGGAAGTGGAACAGAACCACGCCGATCTTCCGCCCTCACCCAAAATGGCCGTATTTGCTTCAAGGATATCTTTGCGCTTGCGTAGCAGCCTCGGGCTCCAGGCAAGCAGCGGACGTCGGACTTGCGCCAAACTCGTTGGGGGGGGTGGCTCGTCGATGTGCGCATGCGTAACGGCCTGCTTCCGTCAGGGCCTGAGGGCCTCGTAACATCCTTGCTCTGGATTGGTCTCTGACTGCTCCGCTCTTCTCGTACGCCCGTCACCTCCGCTGACCCGGAAGTGTTCGCTACCCTTAAATACGTGGGCCCGCGACGCGCGGCCTCTTCCTGTCTGGGCCGGGGCGGCGCGTGGTCCTCGTTGAGTGTCTGAGGCTCCTCAGCTGCGCCCACAGGTGAGGCCTCCGCTTGCTCAGGGCTCCATAAGCTCACAAGGGTCCCCCGAGGAGCCGCGGGGAGGGCTCGGAGGCCGGGGCCTTCCTTGTTCTCCAGCCTTCCTCCCGGAAAAAGGGCGCAAAGGCAACGCGGGGAGGCGCAGCGAAAGTTAATTGGCGCTCTGCCGCCATCGCGGCTTTGCCCCACAGTGGGGCCCAGGATGTTTGTTCAGGATGTTGCTGTACACCTTGGCTTTTTGAAGAGCACACAGGAATTTCCCGCATTTTTCTTCATGTCATTTTGTCCGCGCGATAGATAAAGTGAGCAATCGTTCAGAGGACTTATTTTTGCCACAAAAGTGGTGAGTCGCAAGGCGAGTATTTAAACCCTGCTGGGTACAATGTCAGGTTACACAAGGGGCATCTCACATGATCTCTACAACAGCTGGGGACCATCCTCCCTGACAGTGGATTTTCTTGCATTTTAGACGGTGGTTCAGACTATCGACGTTGTATTGCTAGTATGTCGTAGGTGATGTGTGTGCATAGCGGGCAACTACAGTGTAGGGTTAATCCCAGCTCAGTTGCTGATAGAGACTTAACTTCTTTGTACTTTTTTGTTTTGTATAATTGGCATATGATTCACATGTCATACAATTCAATAGTTCAGCCCTGTTCAGAAAAGCTGTGTAGTCATCTCCACAATCCACTTGTAAATCTATGTACTTGTGTCTTCACTGTTCGTTGCCCTCACCTAGTTCCCAGGATGACTGAGTGGGAGACAGCTGCCCCTGCTGTGGCAGAAACCCCCGACATCAAGCTCTTTGGAAAGTGGAGCACAGATGATGTACAGATCAACGACATTTCCCTGCAGGTGAGGAATGTGGTGGGTGCATCCAGGAACCCCAAGAGAAAGTGGGCAAAACTTTACTTTCCCACAAGAGCAAAAGGTGGGACGGGAAATTCCCTGGAAGCATATCAGTAGACCTCACCTTGCTCTGCCTTGGTTTGGTGAGGGGGACATAATATGCGAGAGGAGCTATGGAGTGACTGCCAGATAACAGCCAGGAGAATCGGTGTTTGGCTGAACTGACGGACTCCCACAAGAATCACTGGGTTTGCGCTTCTCCTGTATCTATTTCTGCTTTGGGATGTCCTGGAAATCTGGGGGGTTCCCTTTAATGCCTTGAGCCACAGGGCTAATCTGTTGTGTTTTATGTGCGATTTTGTTGTTTAGTTGTGGCTGTTATATTCATTTGGATAGTCTGCATTGTGTTAATCTCTAATTTGCAGGTTGTCTTGGAAAGGTTATCAAACAAAATTAAGCTCATTGGTTGATAATCTGCCCCCCTAACTAGTGTTTCCGTTTGAAAAGGGAAGACATAGCAAGAAGCAGCAAGCCCATGCCCATTCATTGTGAGGTGGTTTCTAACCCAGGAGGAGCAACATTACTGTGTGTTTTCATGGTACAGTGCACAAAACAGGGTCTCACTTTATTTTCTAAAGTTGTCCCAGCACCATACAGACTTTCTAAGAAATACCAGGGAATGTTCTGTATAGGCATGCCTCATGTCATTGCATCTCCCGGTAAATTTTTTAAAACATTTTATTAGGGGCTCATACAACTGTTATCGCAATCCATACACACATCAATTGTGTAAAGCGCATTTGTACATCATTCTCAAAACATTTTCACCCAACATTAGGTCCTCACTCCCGGTAAATTTACAGTGTATAGCGATGCTTCTTTGCAAACCAGTTTGTCTTTTTCTAGTAGTATGTGCTTGCTTCATGTCTCAGGTTTTGGTCATTCTTACAGTAACACTATTGTACACATAACAGGGTGCTCATTGCTGCCATAGAGACAGTTCTGACTTTAGCAACCCTATAGAACAGGCTATAGCTGCCCCTGTTCTAATGGCAATCAAGGTCTCTAAGACTCTAAATCTTTAGAGATAGAAAGCCTCATCCTTCTCTGAGAAGCTAGCAGTTTCTACTGCTGGTCTTGTGTAACTGCAGCCCAGTGTATAACTACACTACCAGGGCCTCTTTAATATGCTACAGTAGAGCGTCAGCCTGTCTAGGCACCGGAAACAATTGTGTGATTCACTTTGCTGTGATAGTGGCTTCACTGCTGTGGTCTGGAGCCAAGCCTGCAGTGTCTTCAAGGTATGCCTGCATGCATTGTGTTCGGATTGTTCTGGTTTTGCTGCATAGTAAATGGTCTTTTGAATGCATACCCCTGCACTTGCCCTGTTGGTGCAGGTATTTCTGGGATATATACTGGGCTGTTGAGCAAGTATCTCTATCCACTGTCTTAAATAGCTTGGTTGTGTGTTCTTGTATATGAAAGTGTATCTGCACAGGAATCCCCTTTGCACATTAATGGTTTCTACCTCTGCCAGTGGTTCGAAACCTGGAGGTAGATTGCCCAAACCAAGCTGATTGCCACCAAGTTGATGTCCACTTAAAGCAACCCTATATGACAGCTTCTGAGACAGTAATGCTTTACACGAGTAGAATGTCCCTTCTGCCAACATGTCTTCAGGCATCTTGCTCACCTGCTGTGGCACCAGAGATCCATTAATACAGTTAGATCAGGAGTTGGCAAACTTTAGCCGATCCTGCCCCTCAGGGCGATTTAAAAATTAAGCAATAGTCAATGAAATAATCAGTTTTACTTCAGAACTGCATGTGCATACTAAAAGAGCTATAGTTTGGCGGCCTCTGGTGTAGACTAGTATAAATGGAGCCTTGGAAGTATAGTGTGGGTTACTATTAGGTTGCTAACTGTAACTGTAGCCACTCGTGAGAATGATGAGGTTTTCTATTCCTGTAAAGATTTATGGTCTCTGAAAACCCACAGGGGCTGTTCTAAGAACTCTGTCCAATAAGTTTTCTGAGTGGTAATCAACTTGATGGCAAGTTAATATAGGCATAATTTATATGCCTTGGGGAACCAAAAAAAATCTTGTTGCTTGGTTGGCAGTAGCCTGGCATTGAACCTGCACTGTCTAAAAGGTGTGTGCATATACCTGTGTAATTACACATCCTTGTGGGAATGCTGTGAAGGAAGCATTCGAGTCACTTACTGGCATTTGATTTTGTCCTGGCAGATGGTTCTCACAACCAAATCCTGTAGGGATACAAAAGAAGATGGGGGTGAGGGTCAGCCCCTGCACCCCATTTCAGCTGGGGCCTGTCCCTCCCCTAACAATCAACCTTGGCCTCTGTGCAGGACTACATCGCAGTGAAGGAAAAATATGCCAAGTACCTGCCCCACAGTGCAGGGCGCTATGCGGCCAAGCGCTTTCGTAAGGCGCAGTGCCCCATCGTGGAGCGCCTCACCAACTCTATGATGATGCACGGCCGCAACAATGGCAAGAAGCTCATGACTGTGCGCATCGTCAAGCATGCCTTCGAGATCATCCACCTGCTCACCGGCGAGGTAGCAGGGCTGCCCTTGGACCCCAAAGCCAACCATGGCCTTATAGGGCCAGCACACTGGCTGCTGAGGAAGGGAGGGTCTCTTGGGGTTGGTCATCCCGACCCATTGCCCTGGAGTTTGTCCTAGCACCCACAATCTTCCTCTCTTCCAGAACCCCCTGCAGGTCCTGGTAAATGCCATCATCAACAGTGGTCCCCGAGAGGACTCTACGCGTATTGGGCGAGCTGGGACGGTGAGGCGGCAGGCTGTGGATGTGTCCCCATTGCGCCGCGTCAACCAGGTGGGCCTGGGACACAGGGCGGGAACAGCCTGTTTGGTGCTTGAGAGGGCCTGTCCCTGTCTGCGTGTTTCACCGGGAGCATCACTTCTTGTAGGAAGCCTTCCTGGGTCTCCACCCACACTGGTCAGGCCCGTCACTGGCCACGTTCAGCTGAGGCACTGCTTGCTTTAGATGCATGCAAAAGGCATTCCAAAAGTTCTGGAAACTGGTATTTTTCCATAGACTTTGAGGTCCTCTTGTGTGTTTTACACCTGCCATATGCGTTAGCTCTGGTGATACAATATTTGGGTACTCAGCTAACTAAAAGGTTAGTGGCTCAAACCCACCAAATGCTCCATGGGAGAGTTTGTGATCTGCTCCCGGATCAATTACAACCTGTGCAGCCTTAAGGAGCCGCTTTACTGTCCAAGGGTTGCTGTGGATCACAATTGACCTGACTGTGGTGGGTTTGGTTGGGGGTGATGGTGTCTGCTCTTCTCCTGGACCACCCCCCACCCCACCCCCCGCAGGTGTTCTGTTGCTGTTCTCCTGAGTAGTGCAGGCAGCGTCTCCCTACAGACGCCTCGGCCACCTGAGTTCTCAGTGTATTCAGGGGGGGCTTCAGAAAGCTTGTGGGGGGATGTCGTGGTGTCTCTCTCCCCTCCCCCGCCCCCCCCAATGTGAGCTTTTTGAAGCTGCCCCTCTCGTTTGCACTTGGCCTTGGTGAGTCCTTTGTGGCTTCATCTTTGCCATTTGGGGTCCAGTCTGAGGCCACGCCCTGTTTGGCCATCCAGATGGGTCTCTTGAGGTTTCTATTAGGGGGAATAGAATAGTCTTCCGCACGGTGTCTTGTGCCTGGGTGTCTGCGCTCTTGGGGCCAGTTAGCTCAGCATCTGCGTGGGTCTGTGTGTGAGCTGGCTCATGCTGAGATGGAGGAGGACATGTCTGCTGGTGTGGGCCACCACTATGTCTCATCTAGGAGGTTGGCAGCAGTGGGGTCCCAGAAGGCCACAATCCTCCCTGGTGGGATGTCCCACCCTTGAGCGTCACCTGACATGCAGCCCTTATGTCTTTCAGGCCATCTGGCTTCTGTGCACGGGTGCCCGTGAAGCTGCCTTCCGGAACATCAAGACCATTGCTGAGTGTCTGGCAGATGAGCTCATCAACGCAGCCAAGGTGGGGAGAGTGAAGGGTGGGGGTGGGGTGGCGGGGTGACATGCCAACATTCAGAACTAACCGATACTTGCCTCTTCCCAGGGCTCCTCTAACTCCTATGCCATCAAGAAGAAGGACGAGCTTGAGCGTGTGGCCAAGTCCAACCGTTGATCTCCTAGTTGTGGCTCAATAAACCTGTCAGCCTTTGGGGCAGTCCTTGCCTACCTGTGTCTGCTGTCTTCTTGTGGGGGGTGGGGGTGTTAGCACCCAGGCATCCATCTGTGGCCTCATGTTCCTGGCACGTCTCCCAGGCTTCAGAGATCCGAATTCTCACCAGGAAAACACGTTGGGTTTCAGAAGCACTTGGCTGACTCAGAACCGGGCCCTGTGTGGCGGGTGGGGCATGCGGGTGCCCGTCTGGACACCCTGGGCCATTGCCAGTGGGTGGTAGCAAACCAGAATATCTTCACTTTGAAGGCCTATCCGAGTATTGGTTTGGGATTTTGTAGTTCCCTAGGAAGTCTGGGTGTGGAAAGGCTGTGTGTGGCTTCTGAGTTGCTATTGCAGCTGTGGACACAGCCCTACAGTCAGGCCATTGAGTATCCCTGTCCATACATAGCTATTCTGTTCTTAGCCCTACCCACCTGGGGACAGGTGGGCTTCTAGTCCTTCGCATAGGGGCCATGCCACCTCAGTTGTGATAGCTGTTCCTGAGCCAGCCTCGCCATCCAGAACTTCAGGCCTGAGGTTCGCCCTGGTAGGACCAGCCCAGGAGGCGGGGCAGGTTGAACAAGTCTGGCAAGGTCTCTGGGAACAAGACCTGGCAAGGGGGCGGGTCCCACATAAGGTACCTTCCTTGGGGCTGGGCTCCTGCTCCCAGCCACCGGTCAGTTCAGGATTGCAGTCATACCTGGTAGAGACACGCTGCTGGCCAGGAGGAAACCTGCCAACAGGTAGGAGAAGGCTGTCCTTTTTGGGGGCTGCCAGGGTTTGTCAGCCCAGGCAGGAGTCCCTGGCTCCCTTGCCACTCCCTGCTACCCACCCCTCGAGGCTGCTCAGTGGAGTAGATCCAAGGGCCCCTGCTCCTAGCCTGGCACCCCTACCTGTCCCTGGCCATCTGGAGTCTTTGTCAACGCCTACTGCTTTCCTGATTGCCAGCTCCCAACTTGTCCTTGGAGGCTCCCCCAGTCTCCAGATCCAGGGCCCATCCTTGTCTGCAATCCTCTGCCAACGTCCCTCGGTCTATCCTTAGGGGTCTCTGATTATCCATCCCACTTTGACCTGAGTCTGACCCCCGCCAGCCCGGCTGACCGCTCCTCCCCGCAGGTCCGCATGCCCTGCCCACGGCCACCCTGGCTCCGCCGTCCCCGGGCCCCCCAGAGCTCGGGTCCCAGCTCGCCTGGCACCCCGGGGCGGGGGGAGACCGAGGATGAAGGCGACGATGAGGAGGACGAAGACGCCCGCGCGGGCTCCAGCCCCATCCTGTCCCCCGCCTCGCCCGTGGAGTGCCTCATCTGTGTGTCGCCCTTCGACGGCATCTTCAAGCTGCCCAAGCGCCTGGACTGTGGCCACGTCTTCTGCCTCGAGTGCCTGGCGCGCCTGTCGCTGGCCACGGTGGGC